ATTGCGTACTAATTACGTGATGTAATATTAGATTTTTCAAATAGTACACAATATAAAATATAAAGTTACAATGAAAGTAAAGTTTTTGGAAAAAAATATATAAAAAACAATACAAGAGAAACTTACGAAATTTGTGTCTATCAACTGTACAGCTGCATAAGACTACACACAATTGTATTCAGACCCAAGTCGTTGTGGAGTTACTGATTACATTTCCAGCTGTCTGGTGCCGTTGATTGTAACGTGCAGCCTGCTCAAGTGTTACAAACTACAGTTTATATCCTATGTTGATTGTTTATTATAAATAAGGTATTAAGTGTAAAGGACCGCCTCTGTGGTCTAGTGGTCAGAGTTCCTGGCTACGGATCCAGGGGTCCCGGGTTCGACTCCCGGTGCTACCAGATTTTCTGTGAAGTATTGGGTCTGGAATGGTGTCCACTCAGCCTCAGGATAATTTAGGAGTTACTTGAATGGAAAAGTAGCTGCTCCGGTCTATAAAACCGAAATTAACAGCCGTGGGAGTCCGTTGCGCTGACCACGCGACACCCTCTATCCGCTGAAGTTGACACTAACTTCGGTCGCTCGGTCGGTATAGTACGCTTGCGGACTAAAGTCACGGAATTTATATTACGTGGAAATCGACGACGAATTGTGTTAACGTTTGCTTAACAATTGTTTCAAAAATATAGATTAAAATACTAGAACAATGATATACCTTGGTAGAGAGTCGAAGAGAATGACAAGGAGTTGAAATTTAGGGACTGGTAAACGATTGGTTGGAAACGGAGAAAGTGAAAAAGCCATTTTGAGAAGACTAATCGCAGTTCCGTTGACATCAGTGGATGTTGCTTGTGTGAATGAACTGGTAAGCATAAACAGGAAAAAGAAAGAATCACAGAGTAATGAAATATTGTTTAGAACTGTTGGAAATAGATGAGAGAATATCACTAGGCGACGCGTAGGGCCAGCAAAGAAAGGTGGGGGGGGGGGGGGCAACTGGACGAGCAGAATTAAACAGGAATTTCAAAGTTTCAGCAAGGGTGGAATTTGGATGAATGAACGGAAAAGCGACGAAAATTTTTTGTTAAAGAATAAAAGGCGCATTGATACAGAGAGACATTTGAGTAATGACCTATGTAGGCTTTTTTCCGTTTCCCTTCCAGACACCGTACAAAATCTCCTTTGCGTTCTAACCACAGATCTCCACTCGTAAAACCACAACACACATTTTGCTTTTTCTACTTAAGATGTGAGTTTAACGCTTCGAGTGGAAACATCTTGAAACCCGAGGGCCGCGAATTATGAACTTTTGTCACACATCCTACTCAAACTATTCTGTTTTTCATTTCGTGCCTTTCAGTCCACGCGCAGTCATGTATATACAGTTAGAATAATGAGTACGACTTGTTTATCTTATCAACATGGACAATTATGAAGTAGGTTCTTAACACATTTAAATATCAGTGAGCGGTATGACTGTCTCTGTTATTCTAATATCAGAACCATCTATCTCTCTCTCTCTCTGGCTCTACAGCCCTTGTGGAGCTTGGCCGCTTTTTCAGTTTCTTAATCTGTACACGGTAGGATTCCCTAGATGGGGGATCAACCCGTCGCAAGAACAACACGAACATAGAATAAATGCACACAAATATCCATACCTTGAGTGGGATTCGAACTCACGTTCACAGTGTCCGAATGGGAGAAGACAGTTCATGCCTTAGGCGGCCCATACACGTACGAGTCCGACTCGGCGAGGAGCCGGGCTCGGATTAATTTCACCACACACGTATGAGCATGGCGACCCACACACAGACGAGTTTGGGTCATTAGAAATCGAGCCGAGTCGAACTCGTGAGCCAAACTCGTACGTGTATGGGCCCCCCTTGGACCGCGCGGCCACTATGATCGGCTCCGGAAACAACTACATAATATAAATACGAAATTAACAATTCCTTATAATCGTTATATTGCTTGGGGGTACATTTCCCTAGTAGCAGAATCCAGACCAATCCAAAGTGATCGTTCCCGGATCGTAAAAATCGAATGTTCAGCATATCTGCTATGCAAACCCTATTTCGACTCTCGACAAGAAGACATGCTGCATTGGCTGAGATTTTAATAGTTCTTTCTCAATTCATAGGTGCAAATGCTTAAGTCGTACCTCACAGTTATTTACGAACTTTGCCATGACTCATTTTTCAGTTCTTCCNCACCACACACGTATGAGCATGGCGACCCACACACAGACGAGTTTGGGTCATTAGAAATCGAGCCGAGTCGAACTCGTGAGCCAAACTCGTACGTGTATGGGCCCCCCTTGGACCGCGCGGCCACTATGATCGGCTCCGGAAACAACTACATAATATAAATACGAAATTAACAATTCCTTATAATCGTTATATTGCTTGGGGGTACATTTCCCTAGTAGCAGAATCAAGACCAATCCAAAATGATCGTTCCCGGATCGTAAAAATCGAGTGTTCTGCTATGCAAACCCTATTTCGACTCTCGACAAGAATACAGGCTGCATTGGCTGAGATTTTCATAGTTCTTTCTCAATTCATAGGTGCAAAGGCTTAAGTCGTACCTCACAGTTATCCACGAAGGTTGTAATTACTCCTTCTTCAGTTCTTCTTTTACAGCAATCCACAATCCCACTCTATGTCACCAATGAAGCTGAGCTCCTTTAAATAAGAAAAAAAAAACTTCCTTTCCTCCGTGGCCTTTAGTCCACAAGCGAACTATACCGACCGAGCGACCGCCGCTTGTCGGCGAAATTAATGTCGACTTTTGTGGATAGAGGATGTCACGTGGTCAGCGCAACGGATTCCCACGGCCGTTAATCTCGGTTTTCTAGACCGGAAAGAACAAAACTTATGTGATTTTATAGTGATGTAAGCGTTAATTCAAAGTGAGCTATAAAATGATTATTTATCAGCAATGTTAGGTACTTGACGTGCGTCTTTGTGCGAATTTATGCTTTGGAAGATATCTGCGAATATTTTTCATATACGGTTGGACCAGAAGATCCCAGAGTAGAGTATAACATTAGTATATGAGAGACTGAGGGACAGTGTATCTTATTAAGATCTAAAAGTCTGTGACGCTGGTACATTAATACGAATATTATGTTTCTGGACATTATCCTGTTCTTATCTAAACGCCATCTTGTTATTTTAAACACAACGTTTCTGAGACTAGATTCTGTGTCTGTTTTCAGGTAAAACCTACTCAACTGAGCCCAATCGATAGAGCTAGTCCCTAGTCCTCAGCCCAAGAGTAGGTTTTACCTGAAGACAGACACATAATCCAGCCTCCGAAACACTGTGTTTTGAAATATGAACAGGACGATGGATAATATCCAGAAACATAATATTTATAGTATACCTTATTTCATATTGAAATAAGGACCTAATTAAATGCGAGTAAAAAAATTTTGAAAAATTTAAATTTCGCAATAGCGTGCCGCCCTTACGCTCCCACCCAACATACAGACAAATTCGGTCCAAAGTCCCCCCCTCTGGGTTCTGAATCTGGAGGGACTTCTTGGGTGGAGTATTGGTGTACTGCAAGGTCTGTTCTTAGGCATGACAACACAAACACAGAACAATAAATATACACCCATCCTTGCCAAAAGAGGGCTTCGAACCCACGATCCCGGTGTTCGTGTGTTGCAAGATAGTACACGACTTAGACCACGTGACCACGATGTGTGCGAATTGCATTATGGGAAGGCACAAAACGCAGTTTGAGAGAAGATTCAGAAAAAGCTAAACATGACGAAACTGTAGAACTAATTGTATTCACTTTTTAGTTTTAACAGGTTTCGTCACACACTCATGCACACGTGCACACACACATGCATACACAATTTCAGCAGCTTAAGCCCACCACAAGAACAATACTAGCGTCTACTATCCTACGTGTCACAACACGAATAACGAACTCTACGTGTAGGCCTATGCAGGAAATGGTTACCTCTTTGTAAAAAGATATCAAAATTTCATACAACGATACATACGGTTATCAAAATATGTAATTTTCCTTACCTTGGAAGAAAATCTTTCAAATTGTGAACTTTATCAATAATATATACAAATTCCTAGAAGTTTAGACATTCGTACCTACAGACAGACCGTTGTTTGGGGTTACTTTTGAGTCTGCTGCTGAAAGACCTGAGACTCATATCTAATTTTCTGAGAAATGGTGTAAAATTTTAAAAATAACTTCCTATGGGAAACAGTTGCATCGTAATTTGTCATACTGTAAGCCTGCTTACTTCATTGTGATCCAGTATTGTTCAGTATACTCGTAGCTTTTGCGGATCACTTATAACTCACAGTTTCACTAAATATAAACAATATAAACATGAAAAGTTCTAAAAAAAAAAAAACAGCTATATTTATGTGAAAATGCTGAAATATACAATGTAAAAATAAAGTAGAACTCTCCTTGTAACCAACCGTGAAGGCCCATAGGGTTGTGTGACGCGAGGCTCCCATATTTTCTAGGCAATCGGCTCATGTGACAGTGAGGTTGTCAGCCTTACTCGCCGGCCGTCCTTTACGCCCGAAGAAGATTCCTGGTACTCATTTCTGTTAGAGGCTAAATCGACCCCAGGGCCATAGTGCGGCTGGAAGGATTAGGTCAATTGAAAACTCCAATGACTTCATCAGGTTGAAATTGGTAGAATACAACATGCACAGACTGATGCTTCTGTCCAGAGGCAAGCTCTTTTTCGGCTGGCTTTCTCTCTCAGGAGTGAGTAACAGCACAGCCACCGTGTTTCGCAACTAGGAAGGAATGTATGCTCGAATTTGTAGTTCATTCTATCTATCAGTGCTTCGAAATGTGTAGTGGAGACAATGAACCCGACCTTGGGCGTCTTACTGGCGAATCAGAAGCGATGACATGATTTGTGTAAGGTTACTGTTACTTTAACGAAGATCTAATAGAGCCGTTTCATAAATATGTCACTCATTTCAGTAGAATTCCATTCCGTTCAGTGGTCCAGTGTCTGGTGCTGACATTATGTTCACAGGTAAAGTGATATAAGTCACAACTGAATGATAAAAATGACACAGTGAGATATGATGAATACAGAATAATGAGAATTGTGTTTCTTCTTGGGGACGTGAGAATTGTGGTTTCAATTGCTGTGAGTGTCGAGTTCACTATATTCTGAGATGTAACGTCGTACAGTTTGGTAAATGGTTATCATTCCATATTCCGTATTCCGTATTGAGGGGGTGGGTTTCCCCATGCACTTAGACCGGTTACTGGTCCATTGTGCGTCCCTCTTTAATTTCTACTGTCTCCATACCCTACCGGTACTGGTGCTTACTATCAGCCCCTTTCTGCCAGCGAGGTTCAAACCTCTTACTGGCAGTGGTATCTAATAGTTAGTCCCTTTCTGTCAGCGAGGTCGTCCCTCCTCTGGCAGGGGTTCCTAGTCCCTTTCTGCCAGCAAGGTTTCTACCCTCTACTTGGCAGTGGTATCTAATACTTTAGTCCCTTTCTGTCAGAGAGGTCCCCCCTCCTCTGGCAGTGGTACCTGATACTTCCCCCATCTACCGGAGGAATTGGAAACTAGTTGGGCGGGAAACTTGGCCTAATTTTGCTCAGAGGTCTCCTAGAGACATGAGGTTCTTTTACGTGCCGTAAATCTACGACACGGGACCCACGGCTTAAAGTCCCTCCCGGAGGACTTGTTCCCTGAATTTTTCCGCCCTTAAAAATTCCACTACCTCCGCCGGGTTTTTGAACCCGCGTACCTTGAGTCATGAGGTGGGAACGTTACCCCTAGACTACGGAGGCCGCTAATGGTTATCATAGTTTCGAAGGAAGTGATTTCTGAATCTCCTAAGGCTGATTAAGCGTAGTATATTACAGACTGGTACTTCTATCCGAACCCAGCATAATGCCTTATAAAGTAAAAGGTAAAGTTATCCCTGTAACCGGCCGTGAAGGCCAATAGAGTTGTGAGACGTCGAGGCTCCTACATTTTCCTTTAGACAGTAGGCTCACAGATGGCGATAAGGTTGTCAGCCTTACGCGCCGGCCGCCCTTTACACTCCAGGAAGATTCCTGATTCTAATTTTTGTTAGAGGTTGACTCGAACCCGAGACCATATTGCAGCTGGAAGGATTGGGTAAATTGAAAAAAATCCACCTCATCGGGACTCAAACCCGCAACCTTCTGGCTTGTAGCATAGTGCCTCAACCAACTACGCTACAGAGTGCCCCCACATAATGCCTTATTTTAAACGTAGTTTCGAGAAAAAAAAGAGAACTTTATAAAAAAGCTGGCACGACAGTCATGCTAATATTTTTCTTCATAAAAATTTATCACCCAGTATTTNTGGTAGTTTTTCCATTTGCTTTCCACATCGCAGTACAACAGCCGTTCAAACCACTCTGGTCACGCCTGTTGCTATACGAACTTGAACTATCTCGAGCATCATTTGCTCTGTGCTTCAAGTCGCTGTTGATGACGCTGCTTCCGGCATCAGTTTTTGATTTTTGGTGTTTCTCTTCGTCTGATGCCTACCCTTTGACCTGTCCAGCAAAGGAGGCCCTGCCAGTAGCTACGCTACCGCTGGTATAGCTCTCAAACACCCTCACCACGATAAGGTGGAGGCACCAACGAGGGGAGTATTTATTTATGTCTATAAAATTGAACAAGTTGGCCCCCACGCGGTAATTTTTCTGACTTGTATTTGAGATATATCAGTTTGAATTTTGTCTAGGACACCGAGTATGCTGGCCCTGTACTTAATTAGTCACAGGCGCTTCCACGAAGATTGAAATTCATTATTCACCATTATCGGGCCACTGGACGCTGTACGAGAATAGTCTGAATTACTGAAGGCGCTGTTAAATAAATAACAAGCAAATAAATAAGTGAAATTCTAGAAACAAGGAACCGAACGTTGAGCGTGAGTAGTCAGTACGCATGCTCTGTATTCGGAAGGTTCTGCCCCCAGCCCCGCTGTATGAGTAACATTTATCCCAGTAGATTGCAGCACTATCCAGATCCTAGGACAATACATTTATAAGTGACGGCAGCTCCCTACTTCAGCTTTTCAATTTCATATTTACAATAATACTATCACTAGTTGTCATATGCACTGAGAGTAACGGCCGTGGGATATATTGCGCTGACCACGCGACACCCTCTATCTGCAAATGTTGGCACTAACTTCGTAGACAAGCGGCGGTCGCTCGGTCGGTATAGTTCGCTTGCGAACTACAGGCCACGGAGTTTCCATATGTTCGTAATCTGTAAAAGTAAAAGGTAAAGAAGTCCCTGTGTTATATGGAATGATTTGACTACACCGTCCAGTTTGACTCAAATGTGTGTGCATATATACATACGCGGTAGCGTAGTTGGTTGAGGGGCTAGGCTACAAGCCGGAATGTCGCGGGTTCAAGTCCCGATGAGGTTATTGGAGTTTTTTCAGTTGACCTAATCCTTCCAGCCGCACTATGGCCCTGGGGTTTACTCAGCCTCTAACAGAAATGAGTACCAGGAATTAATTAAATAATTTTCCTGGGGAGTAAAGGGCGGCCGGCGCGTAAGGCTGACAACCTTACCGCCATCTGTGAGCCGATTGTCTAGATAATATGGGACCCTCAGTGTCTCACAACGCTATGAGCCTTCATGACCTGTTACAGGGATAGCTTTACTTTTACTTTTTACTTTTTACTTTGTAATGCCTTTACATGTTTCGGTCAATTAATAACCATTTTCAGAAGGCTAATAACAACAACACGTTGAGGAAGCTACTATTACGTAAATTATAATAAATCAAGTTCAAATTTGTTAAAAGTTTTATGTAAAGATTTAATCGATTTAAAATGCGCTGAGTTAAAGTATTAATAACATTCTTAATATTTAAAATCTTAAACCGCTAAGGTTCGTGTCTTCGTGCCTCTTCTATCAACGTGAGACTGGAGTAAATTTCCGTCTTTGGAGATCTGGGCAGTGTTTTTTCCTTCTTTACATAGTTGGTTAAGAGTCTGTGTTTGTTGTTAAGCTGTTATGGACGCTGTTGATCTTACACTGCACGAAATCGAACCCAGATCTTCCAGCCCGAAGCCCTCCGCTATACCTACTGAGTTATCGCGATTCCTGCTATATAATCTATGGAGTTGGAAAAACTGTCATTAGCTCCTTAATGAACCAGTACAAAAGTGTAACTACTGCTACTTTGTGAGAAAGAAGAGTGTACGTAGTTTGTCGAGCTGTTTGCTTGAAAGAAAACGTTAGTAATAGTGAATGCATGATATACTTGGAAAAATGAACACTGAAATTAATAAGCCCTATAATAAAAATTATCTTAAACTTCTCTTGAACAAATTTGATTTGTTTCATTCTGCTCCGTCACACTAACAATTATAAATACAAACCACTCCGTCCAATGTGACATGTAAGTTTTTACTACGTTAAAACTTATCTCCCTTACATGTTTCGGTCCTTACGGGCCATCTTCAGAGGGAACATCATTACAAACTGGAAACTACCATCACAATAGGTGTTTTGATTTAAAATACATACACTTATATCCTACAATGCACAGTACGCATAAAGTCGAACGTTTCACAATCACAGCAGCTTCCTGGTGTTGTAAAGTTTTTAAAAGGTTTCTAGATGTTATTTAAAAAACCTTTATTGTCAATAGTTATTTTTTTTCATTTACACTGAATTTTTTGTCGTACAATTCGACGTTATCTTAAGCGGATTGGCTTATTTTTCTTTTTGGCACGTTTAAAGTTGGTTTGGGCAAACTATTGTTTTGTTGTTGTATTTTATTGATTTGATATTTTTTATTATAATTTATTTTTACCGTGAGGGGTCTTTTATTTGCTTTTGTAAGTTGGCTTTAATTGCTGTACCTTGTGTCATCAGGGTTTATTGATTCTTATTATTTATTTTTGTTTCCCGATTTCTGAGAAGGTAAGTACTTGTTTTAGTTACTGTTTCATTTGTATTGATGACATTTATTTGGTGGTGATATGTTAGCCTTTTCCGGCCGTATCTAGTTTCTCGAGGTTTGTATTTATTCTCTTGAACAATTTCCATCTCTGTATTTCAGTTCGTTTGTTTGTGTTTTATGAACAAAATTGCTGACTCTACTTATCTGCACTTACTGCCAAAACAACACCGTCATGGAAGTATTCATAGCGTCACTTTATTTATTTACAGCTATATTTAGAAGACAACGTTTTGAGTAAGAGATTCACTTGGCCATGCCGTAGCTCCACCGCAGTATCCTGATTTCTATCACAGGTCAGGTCATGTGGGATTTGTGGTGGACAAAGCAGCATGGGGAATGTTTTCTCTGAGTACTTCGATTTTACCCTGCCAATTCTCATTTTACAAACTTTGGTGGTTGATTATATATACAGAATGTCCCGGGAGGAAAGGTCAGTACTCTGGAAAGTCATAGTATCGGCCATTGTAAACAAAAAGTATACCGTATTTACGCATGTATAGGCCGCACATTTTTTGCCAAAAATTCAAGAGGAAAACTGGGGTGCGGCTTATATTCGAAATATTCGAAATCACACTTCATTTAAAAAAAAATATATTCATAATTAGTTATACAGGGTGTTCTACTCCTGAAATAATATTCCAAGAAAATTATTTTTTCTATAATTTCTGTCTGAAAATTGTGCTGCGGCCTATACATGCGTAAATACGGTATATATGTATACACACACATACATACATGTGTCCTGTTCTTAACGGTTTCCGAGATAGAGCTGTTTCACTGTACAGTTCCAAAATTGTTGATAAGAAAGAGATATTACGTACGGTTTCTAATAAAGTAAAAAAGTAAAGTTATCCCTGTAACAGGTTGTGAAGGCCCATAGGGTTTTGAGACGTTGAGGGTCCCACATTATCTAGACAGTGCTGCTGGAAGGATTAGGTGAATTAAAAAAAAAATCCAATGACCTCACCGGGACTTGAACCCGCGACCTTTCGCCTTGTAGCATAGCCCCTCAACGAACTACGCTACCGCTTACCGGTATTACTGTTCAAGTAACAAAGTTGGTACAGTTTACCTAGTATAATACACTTTCGAAAATTCCACCGTCAACATCAATGCAATTTGCAACTCGTGTGAGGACATGGCGTGTTGCTCGTCTGTACAGTGTACAGTGTACTGTGCAGTGAAATAGCTCTATCTCGGTGCAACTCGTGTGAGGACATGGCGTTTTGCTCGTCTGCACAGTGTACAGTGTACTGTGCAGTGAAATAGCTCTATCTCGGTGCAACTCGTGTGAGGACATGGCGTGTTGCTCGTCTGCACAGTGTACAGTGTACTGTACAGTGAAATAGCTCTATCTCGGTGCAACTCGTGTGAGGACATGGCGTTTTGCTCGTCTGCACAGTGTACAGTGAACGGTGCATTGAAATAGCTCGGAAACCGTTCGGAATAGGACACATGTACATATACACTTGGCGTTGGTTAGAATGACAGACATTACGACCTCCCTGAATACTGACCTTCCTCCTGGGACATTCTATATATACTAATAAAATATATAAGATATGTAGATGATTGTACTGGATGTTAAGGAGTCATCGAGTTGTGGCATCTTTCGCCGTCAGAGAAGGTATTTTTAGTAACAATGGGAAAAGAATCTCAAATAATCTTCAGGTCCATCTAAAAGTTCCTGTCAAAATAAAAATGCATTAAACTTTGATACTGAAATCTGAGTCTCTAGCTTGCGAGACAGCCATTTCAATGAAACATTGTTGCTAACAACAAAATGTTCTTAGATTTTGTTAAGAATAACACAAAGTATTCCCTTCCATTTCAAATCCAACTCAGGGCATGGATTTTTAGTTTGTGCTTGTGCGTTTTTCTGTGTTTGTGTACAGGTAGAGGCCTTGCGACGAGCTGATCACCCGCCCAAGGAGTCCTACCGAATGTGTAAGATCTAGAAAAACGAAGTGAACGGAGAAGTTCATGGAGGTAGGACTAGGTCCACTGGGGCTGTAGTGCCAAAGGGGGGGGATTCCCTTCCATATATATTTTCAAAGTTCATCTATTCACCAGTCTGTAAACAAATTGATGGCAGAAGTAAAAAACCATTACTGTTTAATTAACCGGTTTCAGTGTGGTACAGCCGGCTTGAAAATAAATGTGTACATTTGTGTCAATAAGAGGCAATGGGGCCTTGAGATGATCTGCGTTCTGTTGCCCGCTCTAATAGTAGCACGAGATAAATTCATGTAGTGATCTTCTGGGTTACGGAACCGTCTACTCTTGTAAGTGGGTACCGACGTTTCGGAAGAACATATTGCCTCCATCTTCAGTTCCTTGATTCTGCAGAGAGTGTTATTCTGAAGCTTCGGTTTTCATCTACTGGTTGTTGTTATTATTATTATTATTATTATTATTATTATTATTATTATTTTACTGCAATCGGGTGTCCACCTGGTGGCAGTAGACCCTACACTGATACAGACAAGGAAAGACTATAACATAAAGGGAACAATACAAAACAAAATACATACAATAAGCAAGGTGCAAAAAGTACAAATCCAAATATATAAAGTCATAAAAGGGCACGTGCTTGTACTTCATAACCAAGTAGACTAAAATATAAATTTTCTTTCCCAGTAAAATTTCAGATCTTATGGCTTCTTCTTTTTTATTCGCATAGTGGGTGGGGGGGGGGTGGAGTCCAGCTGGGTCCACTCGGCACGTNTGGGTGGGGGGGGGTGGAGTCCAGCTGGGTCCACTCGGCACGGCGGCCTATTGTACCTACCCCGAGTGATTATGATGGTAGAGAATTTGGTGGAATGAATATTGGCAGAGGAAACCGAAGTACTCGGAGAAAACCTGCCCCAACGCCACTTTGTCCACCACAAATCCCACTTGACCAGACCCGGGTTCGAACCCAGGGAAGTCAGGGACTAACCGCATGAAACTTGTTAGTCTTGAGTGTTGAGATCGTTCCAATCGGCGTCTTCCTCCCGTGTAAATGTCCGCTTTCCCTTGGCAGAGACGTTTGTTCTCGCAGTCTTTTGCATTACATTAGTCTAAATACCGAACTGAGAATCCGGCCAAGACTGCAAGCAGTTTCTTTAATGAATGTGCTAATGCAAGTAGTTGAATTAGTAAGATGGCGGTTGTTGTTTGGGGGTTAATTTTCTGACCTTGCAAATATAAATAAATAATAAGTAATGAAATATCTGTTTAAATGAACATAAAAGGTAAAGTTGTCCCTGTATCTAATTAATTAAGCACTACGCCATGAAGGCATATGGGGGAGTGGATATATAGATCCACATTTTCTTGACCTCTGCACTAGCTGGAGGTGAGTGGTGAGCTTCACGCCCCTGCCGCTTTACCCCCTGGGTAAAATCCCCCGGTACCCTTTGGTAAGGAGGCTGGGTCTGGCGATATGGTGAAGAGAAAATTTTGATCCTACCGGGACTCGAACTCCGACCATTCGGTCGTCCAGCTCATAGCCAGTCGCTATACCGACTGCGCAACCCCAGCTCACAATAATTGTTTAAATACACAAAAGAAATATAGGAATGGATGAATAAACAACAAACAAAAGAATAATAAAATGAACCGTTAAAACAGACAAGCACGCAGGTAAATAAAGACATGTGTAAATAAATAAATAAATAAATAAATAAATAAATAAATACATTCCTAATGTGAGGGTACAGACCCGGAGCTGGCGAAGTTCGTGGAAGGAATTTTCTCCTTAAGGCTTCCATAGTAGCTATCCTCCGTGGCCTGTAGCCGGCAAGCCAACTATACCGACCGAGAAACCGCCGCTTGTCGGCGAAGTTAGTGCCAACTTTAGCGGATGGAGCGTGTTTCGTGGTCAGTGCAACGGTTCCCCAATGCCGTTAATCTCGGTTTTCTGTACCGGAGCCGCTCTTTCCATGAAATAGCTCCTCAATTATCCTCACGAGGCTGAGTGGACCCGTCNTAATTTTCTGACCTTGCAAATATAAATAAATAATAAGTAATGAAATATCTGTTTAAATGAACATAAAAGGTAAAGTTGTCCCTGTATCTAATTAATTAAGCACTACGCCATGAAGGCATATGGGGGAGTGGATATATAGATCCACATTTTCTTGACCTCTGCACTAGCTGGAGGTGAGTGGTGAGCTTCACGCCCCTGCCGCTTTACCCCCTGGGTAAAATCCCCCGGTACCCTTTGGTAAGGAGGCTGGGTCTGGCGATATGGTGAAGAGAAAATTTTGATCCTACCGGGACTCGAACTCCGACCATTCGGTCGTCCAGCTCATAGCCAGTCGCTATACCGACTGCGCAACCCCAGCTCACAATAATTGTTTAAATACACAAAAGAAATATAGGAATGGATGAATAAACAACAAACAAAAGAATAATAAAATGAACCGTTAAAACAGACAAGCACGCAGGTAAATAAAGACATGTGTAAATAAATAAATAAATAAATAAATAAATAAATAAATACATTCCTAATGTGAGGGTACAGACCCGGAGCTGGCGAAGTTCGTGGAAGGAATTTTCTCCTTAAGGCTTCCATAGTAGCTATCCTCCGTGGCCTGTAGCCGGCAAGCCAACTATACCGACCGAGAAACCGCCGCTTGTCGGCGAAGTTAGTGCCAACTTTAGCGGATGGAGCGTGTTTCGTGGTCAGTGCAACGGTTCCCCAATGCCGTTAATCTCGGTTTTCTGTACCGGAGCCGCTCTTTCCATGAAATAGCTCCTCAATTATCCTCACGAGGCTGAGTGGACCCGTCCCAAACCCACTACTTCTCAGAAAATCTGGTAGCGCCGGGAATCAAACCTGGAACCTCTGGATCTGTAGGCAGGAACTCTGAACACTAGACCACAGAGACGGTCCTGGAAAGAGTATTGCAGTATTTTTATCTCAAGAGAATTAGGTTCTGTGTCCGTCCATGGCGTCTTATTCAGTATAGAGCATATTCGAATCACTATTACATATGCAGGAAGACAAGTGTCAGATCCAATCGTTCCAATTATGAAGAAGAATAAGAGGATTATTTATGTTGGTCCAAAACGTGAGCTACATTAAATAGGTAGATACGGTATTCTCGGATGTCGCTGTATAGTTTTGGAGATAATTACCGACGTTTCGGAGAAACCTGCCTTTTCCATGATCAGAGTAAAATTTCTGACTCCATCAGAAATATATATTGGACGTTAAGATTGATTGCCAGTCATTACTCGAATAGAAAATGAAAAGGTGTCGACAATACTAGACGACAAAACTCCTTGACAAAGTTTGGGCGTTAAACTACACTTAGGTTCATGTGCTTTTCTCGCACATCCGATATTCCTTCTACAAACACGATCCAAGAAAGGTAAAAATAAAAAACAAAAGCGGAAGGCACAGTCACGTTTACAGAAAGAAAAAACAGGTTTGACTGCATCTTTATCGTCTCCTATCCTTCCCTGTTCGCCAGACTGACTCACCAGCGAATCGCCACGCAACACTCACAGTCAGGCAACTGGTACGGTGGAGTGAGGACGAGAGAGGACATATTGTTGTGGCAGTCAAAATGGAATCTTTCTTCTGGATTAGTATTGTCGCATTTGGTGCCCTTTCTGTCGCGGTGGTAAGCATTTATCACTTTATTACAGTGTTCCCCAATATTTTCGTTACATTCAGGATGTGGTTATGACAATTACAGCGCCTTTGGAAGTGTAAAGAGAATGCATAACCTACAACTACCGCGGTATCTGCATAATTTATTACGGTACTATGAAGTACTAGAAGAATATAGTTTAAAATGACTATAATTTTGAAGTCAGAGGATTTTCGAGTCAATGAAGGATGCACGAAACCTTTTTAATTTCTATTTTTTTTTTGTCTCGAGTTTTCAGTCTAATAATAGCTTCTAGGTTTTGATTTTCAAACATTTATCCTATTCATAGGTAGGAAAATTGTAGTCGTTCATAATAACTAGCATAATATTTATGGATATAATTTGTCATGATACCGAAATGATAAAATCCTTATTCGTCAGTTCAACATGGTGGGTTTTCGGTTTTGGCGAATTGTGATAATTTATAGGACTCCAGAACCCACTGGAAGTATTTAAAATATATAAAATCATCAGTGCAGTATTCTTTATATAATATTTTGTTTTTAATTGTGGTCACTTTTAATGAGTGTGTGCCTAGTGAGGAAGTTAGCCCAAACAAATGCCTGGTTTTTGCATTTATGCATCCTATGTACAAAGCAGGAGCGTATTATGTTGAGGTAACTCTATATGTTAGTATTCTGGATGTTGTCGGTTAGAATCTCCGTCAGGATGTATGCTGTCATGACAGGTGTTCATGGTTTAACTCAGTCCTTCAAGGCAAATGCCTGGATTAGTCAAGGTCACTTCCTTACAAATTGTTTCCAATTCATCTAACCTCTCATTTGATGCTATATTGTAGCTACTGACAGCGTCATAAAATAGACCACGACATACAGAATCGTCTGCCAAAAGCGAATTCCAAGGCCATGACACCAAATAGTCATGGCGTAATTTGAGATACTATCCCAAAATTTGCCTGGAATGACTGAGGAAAACCAGTCAGGGTAGTAAGTCTGCGAGCCGAGATTTTAACCTGGTACTTCCCGAATTTGAAGCATGGGCTCTAACCTCTCCACGCTGGTGTTTGGTGCAAGATCTGTCGTCAGTACACGTGACCTCGTGTCTAATTTCCTTACTCATCAGAAACTGGCTGCATGCAGTATTGCTTATCTACGCAAGATGTATGACTTAAGTCATTTTACCGACCATAAAGCTCAGATCAGACTCTTTCGTTAACTAACTAACGAAGTAACTTCATAGAGCTGAGCCCCTCTTGAGAAGCCGCTAATTGTGCAGCTGCTCAAGAATTTTCCAGCATTTTATGGAACCAGAAGGTTCATTGCCGGTCACGGTAGCCGAGCGGTCTAAGGCATACACTGTCTTCGCTCGCTCGGAAGCCGGGATCGTGGGTTGGAATTCCACTCAGGGCACGGATGTTTGTGTGCGTTTTTCTGTGTTTGTGTACGGGCAGAGGCCTTGCGACGAGCTGATCACTCGCCCAAGGAGTCCTACCGCATGTGTAAGATCTAGAAAAACCGAAGTAAACCGAGAAGTTCATGGAGGTAGGCCTAGGCCCACTGGAGCTGTAGTGCCAAGAAAGGAAAAAAAAGAAGAAGGTTCATTACCGTGTTCACTGGTGCCTATCCTGAGCCTGATCAATCCAATCCATCCCATCCCATCCTATCTCGCTAAGATCAATTTTAATATTGTCCACCCACCAACGTCTTGGTCTTCCTAGTGGTCTCCTTCCTTTTGGTTTTCTCACCAATACCCTATATGCACTCCTCTTCGCCCCATTCGTGCTACACGCCCTGCCCACCTCATCCTCCTTGACTTGACCATTCTAATTATACTTGGAGAAGAGTATAAGTTATGAAAGTCCTCATTATACAGTTTCCTCCAACCTCCTGTTACTTCATTTCTCTTCTGTCCAAAGACTTTATTATTATTATTATTATTATTAT